CCCCCCTCCCCCCCCCCTCCTACCCCTTCCTCCTACTTGTACTCTTCCCCATCTTCTTTCTTTCTTTCTTCACTTTGTGGGGCTATGAAGTCCTTTCTCTGCAGAGGAGACTGGACGTACCTCAATTAGAGTGAACCAGTATAAAATCTCTTGTGCAATTATCTCTTCTCTTGTCTGAACGATCCTCTTACAAAAACCTATATTTGCATTTTAATTTCTATACATAAGAATCTTTCAAGCTAAAACAATTATTTTTCATAAAGGAAGTTCTTACTAGACGCTAAGAATCTAAGCACTTAAAAGAAGGATTGCTAAAAGTTATCCATCAACGATATTCAAACCTTTCTTCTAATGTTTTTCAGGTACTTTAGTGATGTGCCACTTTGGTGCAATTTTTAAGTAATTAGTTTATATAAATTATGGCTCAATCCTATGTAAAATTGGCTTACCAAATTATATTTTGGGTTAATCAACTAATAAGCTTTATTTTGGATTTATTTCAAGTTGTAATAAGGGCCTAATTGGCCACTTAGTCACCAGCCTTTGGGAGACTAAAGGATGAAAAACTGAATGCTTTTGGGTGACTTTTGGTTGAAACATAGGAAAAACTCTAGAAAGGGGGTTGAATAAAGTTTTCAAATCCTTTTCGCAAATATGTATTAAACACTTTAAGTTTTTGAACAACATTTAGGAAAATGTATGTAAAGGACAGTAAATAAGAGGATCTTGTTTTTATATTGGTTCACTATAACTAAGCTAAGTCATGTTCTCTCTTAAGTACTCTTAAGGGGGTTCCACTAATTTTCAAGGATTACAACGAAATTTACCACTTCTCGTTTACAACTATTCAATTTGGATAAACGAGTTTACCTACTCCTAGTACAACAATAGTCTTCCTGACTAGACCGTTTAACTCAACTGAAATAAACAACTAAGTGTTTTAATTCTCTTTAGCATTTACAAACACAATAAAAGTGTTTTAGAAAAAACAAGTACAAATCAAAGCTCTCAAAGAGAGTAGTATGTTTTCAATACAATGAAATCTAAAGAATTGTAACACTTTTTCTTAACCAAAGAAAGTATTAGATGATGAAAGCTCAGAGAGAGAATAACAACGTAAGATTCAAAGACAAAATTATTGTATTCTTCTTTGCATTCAGTCCTCTTTATATAGCATTCTTCGAGAAAGATCCATTACTTAGAGAGAGTTGACTTTGAGGAAAACAGGTAGCTATCAAGTATAAAGTCAGGTGCGAGGCAGTGTTAGAGCAACACTACTTTTCATAGAGGTAGCATGTACGAATTCCTTAGAGCAAAAAACATTAAGGAAACATTCTAAGAATGTATTTCTATCTCTTAACGTCTTTCTGATCTTGAACAAAAGTTTTGAATAAAGCTTGGTATAGTCACGATCTGCACAAACAAAGAAACACAAAGCATCACATAGAAAGAAGTACAAATCGTACATGCATTTAATGTTATAAACATTATAGAACATTTATGTATGTTTTGTGTGTTAAGACAAGAGCGTCTAGAGAATAGGCCGTCTAAGCAACTCAAGTTTTGATGTTTAACAAAAAGCATTAAGAGAAATATTGTTGTGTATGAAAAGTTGTTTTAAATAAATAGTGTCTAAGAAAGAAAATTTTTGTGGACATTTAGAAAGCTTATGAATAACATTTTCTAGACTCAACTGTCTGATGAACTAATGTTATGAACAACGTCTAAGAAAAGAAAGCATCTCTCATTTTTTAATAGACTATATGAGTAACAAGATAACTTTTTATGAGCAATAACGTTTATCTTTTTAATAACACTAAAGTTAAAAGAAATTTTTATTCAATATAGTGTCATCTCAAGCAAAGCGTCTTAAGAATCGTCTAATGTTTAAACCATTTTATGATTATACATGTTATAAGTTTTACCAAATGATGCATTTATGAATCATATGACAAATGATAAAATGTTTTGAACATGCAATACAATTTAATGCTTATCAACCTTAAAAATATTTAATGCATGTACGATAAAATGATTCGATGCTTGTATACTTTGTTCTTAATATTTGTGCGAATCACTAAAGCAATAAGATATGATCAGAATCACTACACCAAGAAAAAAAATGTTGTAAGAGATGAAGAACATTTTGCGAATGTTTCACTTAAAGCCTTATGCTTTGTCATATCGTACAAGCTTAGTTTTCTAAAGGCAATAATGAAGCTTTGAACCTCTACAAAGTAGACTAAAGTCTAACATCCTACCTAAAGCTACTTACCCTCTTGAAGTCAACTTCTTAGTCTAATGGTCATCTTTCAAAAAAAACTATATATAGACGAAAACTTGAAGAGAAAAAAAAAGGATAACATAAGAAGAATAGAACAGTGAACTCGTGAATGCCAAGACAAGCTTACTGTGCTTATATATCATGACTTTGTGTATTTCTATTAAGAGAAAAACCTCAACAAATCGTAGAAATCTTTGTATTATTCATATTCTCTCTTTAAGAGTTATCATTTGTACCGTTGCTCATAAATTTTTTTATGTTGTAAGGTCTGAAGAGAATTAAAAGTCTTGTCTAGATGTGTTGTCTAGGGTTAAGACTAAAAGTATTGAGAATACTTAAGACCAGAAGTGGTTAGAATACTTGAGACCAGAAGTGGTTAGAATACTTGTAAATCAAGAGTGATTAAACTTGAATTAGTCGTGTTGACTAGGTGAACTAGGAGTGGTGAAAATACTCGTTGTAAACCTGGAGAGGTAAAACTCGTGTAATCTTGTTAAAGATTAGTGGAACACCTTAAGAGTTCTTAAGGGAGAACTAGATGTAGTTTAGGTTGAGTGAGCTAGTATAAAAGTTGTGCTTTATTGTTTTTCTTCTTTGAACGCATTCATAAAATCCTTTTGAAACATCTTCGTCTGAACATATCTTTTGTTTAGTGAAGACGTATCAGAAGTCATTTGTGAAAAGTTCTAAAAACACTATTCATCCCTCCTTTTAGTTTTTTCCTGCGGTTTTCATTGTGTACTAAGCATTTAGCGCATAAGTCTATTTTGTTGAGTAGAAAAGCATTTGCAAGATAAAAGAATACTAAGCATATGTTGTCGTTTAATAAAAGCTTTGTATTAAACAATTTGAAATGTTAAATGCACTTACGTCAAACATATAGACGATTTGCTTATATTTTTTAACATTATTTTTATCAAACATAACCTCTAGATGGTTTAAGCTATAAACATTATTTCGTTAAAGTTGGTTTGTTAAACTTCAAAACAAGAGTTGTTAGACGGTCTTCTCTTTCTGGATGGTATTGTCTTAACATTGATTACCATAATTACAATTACAATCAACCATTAATGTAGTGTGATCATTATTAGCTTAAGTAGGATTTAATAGCAGTTAACTAATCCTTTGTAATTTTAATGGCTAAAGCTATTGAACTATTTTTATCAATAAAAAAAAGGTAGAGTTTTATATATTAGAGTCTATCCTTTTTTATATTGGTAAGAGTGATTCTCCTAATTTCTTGAGTGATTGAAGAACCCTTAAGTTTTATTAAAGGTCTTTTATTCCTTTGTGTGTTTAAAATCTTAGACTTTTCTTTCATCCTTAGAAGTGTAACGTTTGTCAAGTTCCACTCCATATTTTAATCTATTTTTGTTTTCTTGTTTTAAACAAATTTTCGAATTTATTGCTTATTAGCATTCCAACATAGATGAATCGGTAAAACTAGTGTTGTCAAAATGGATTAGAATCCGCAGGCCAACTCGGTCTACCATGGGTTCAGGTCGGGTTGAGTTTGAAAAAAATGTCTTTTTTGATACGGGTCAATTTTCAACCTAGTCCACTTACAACTCAGTTCAACGGGTTGAACCCGTAGTGAACCAGGTTGACTCACCAGCCCACCTAATTTAATTTAATTATTTATTATTTTATCTTTGAGTATTATTTGTTAACACTTTTTTCATTGTATTGTAAATGAGGAAAAAGAAAAAGATGTTTTAAGAGAGCAAAATATTATGAATTTATCCATTTAAGACTCTAATATTATAAATGAACAAGTGACACAAAAACGATCAATTTTAGAAGCTTATTTGTTTGTTTTTTGTGTTTGTTTTTTAATTACATTTGAATTATATGATTTTTTTTATTTATTTTGAATTGTGTTTAGAGTTTAACATTATTTTAGAACGAGATTTATTTAAATTTAAATTACAAAAAGATTGTAATTTTTTTAGGTTTGCAAAAAAATATATAATTAATTGAATCAGTTACCTAACATGTTTAACCTACCCACACCAGGGAAGCGATTCGAATTTTTTTACTCCCTAACAAATGAACTAAGATGAATTATTAGCTCACTAATTTGGAACGGAATTACCTTGTTTTGAAAACACTACTTAAAACAAATCCACGATAAGGTAACTGTTATTATTTTTTATTTGTTTTTAATACAAAATTCAATGAAAATGTGTTCAACAACCCAACTCATACGAAAGTTGCATTGTATCTATCGCTCAGCATCCGCACCCAAACCATGAGAAATCGCAGCCTTTATGCATCGCTGGTTTCACTTTTTTGCTTCGTCGTTCTTATGATCGTAACCCCAGCCATTCCTCAGTCCCAAGAGTATCATAATTTCGCTGACCACCGCAAATTCTTCGGTAACCCTCTTCACTTTCTACTGTGTTTCGGACCCACTTTTGTCCCTTTTCTTTTTCTATTGTTTTACCCTTTTTTCTTGTTTTTCTTATTTTTCGAATGGGTCGCCTAAAAAAGGGAACTTGACTCCACTGATTATGATTTTGGTGGAATTGGTGTAAATTGAGTGGAAATTATTTTGAATGTTCAGTGTTAATTTTCAGGTATTAATAATGCACTTAATGTGATATCAAATTTCCCTTTTCTGGTTATTGGTCTCGTTGGACTTGTACTCTGTTATCATGGAAACTACTTTAGACTCAGGTACTATAGTCTGTTAATTTTCTATAGCAATCAACTTTCTCATTGCTGGCAAAAATCTTGATCCTCTTTGTTGTGTGGTTTGTGATTGTGATGCATGCCAAAAGCTTGCAAGGTGAAATATGGGGTTGGACTTGCTTCTATGTTGGTGTGGCTGCTGTTGCAGTTGGATCTTCATACTATCATCTCAAGCCAGATGATGCTCGCCTTGTCTGGGATAGGCTCCCAGTGAGTTAGACTTGATTTAGTTTTATGCAAATTGTTTGCCACTGCTAAAAGCCGTTTCCATCCCTTCTTTTTGGCCCATTTCAAGGTGTCAACTTTTGATCTACAAGCTGATTGTGATTGCAGATGACTGTTGCTTTCACATCCATCATTGCAATATTCATCATTGAGCGGATTGATGAGAGGAAGGGAACGGTTTCAATTATACCTCTACTTTTGGCTGGTATAATAAGCATTGTGTATTGGAGGCAAGCTCACTGTTTATTAATTTTGCATTTTATATGACAGAATTTTGTCTATTAAGTAGAAGACAGTTGTTCTTCATATGGATAAAGCATAAAAAGTAGTGTTGGTTCTGCCAATACATTTGCCATTTTTATGTAGTTACCTGATTCATCATGGAATAATCAACTCATAGAACAGTTCAGAGTCTCAAAACTTAGTTTAGTTATTTTCGATGTTCATATATGTGATTTCTATTTGAGGTTAATTGTTAAGTATGTATTTGGATGAACGTTGACAAAGCAAATGAAATTGATTTTGAAAAGCTACCTAAACTGTTGTTTCAACTCAAAATCTATTCTTGACCCATAATAAATCTCCACGTGTAACCAATCATGTCTAAATCTACCTAAAACCATGTTAATTGGTATTTCAACATGATTATGGAGATTTCAACATGAAATCAAATAAGTACCAAGTACTTGCCCATTCAGCTGACTTAGTTACCTGAACTTTAACTCTTGAAATAATTATTCTTGTCTTCCATTCACCAAGGTTCTTTGATGACCTTCGTCCATATGCTCTGGTCCAGTTTGTGCCTTGCATTGCCATTCCTATAATGGCTATTTTGTTACCTCCAATGTACACACATTCAACATATTGGCTCTGGGCTGCAGGTTTGGATTTATGTTATAGTGTAATTCCCCCTTAATGTTTGTTATAACCACAAGCCATGCTTGTATTTTAAATAATTGCTTTCCAGGGTTTTATCTTTTAGCGAAAGTGCTAGAAGCTACTGATGAGGTGATCTATGGATGGACACACCATATTGTCAGTGGTCACACACTTAAGCATCTAGCTGCAGCAATGGTACCTGTATTCTTAACATTCATGCTTGCTAAAAGGAATGTTGAACCTGAGAGGTATTTGCATGTCTGCAACATTAAAACTGCGCATAATTAATGGACTCAATTGTTTCAGCATTGGTACTGCAAGAAAACAGCATGCAATTGTGGGAATACGAGATATATAGTTCACACAATGAATTGGCATTAAGCTTAGGTCCTATCTGCCCTATTAAAATGTCTCAGCCTGGGCTATTGGATGTACATGGACATTGGAAAAAGAAAAGAAACATTAAGAAAGAGAACCTACCTGTTTCCCTCATGAGTATATGAACTATGTTGATTACAAAATCTTGTAGTTCTTATTTTTCATCTGTCTTACAAACTATCGATCAGTAGAGTGACTTTCACTAGTAAATATGTGTTTTGTTGCATGTATCTCTTTAATTTAACTGTAAATTTAACTTATGATTGTTAGATTTTGTTAACCAAAATTGTGGGAACTAGTAGATTTGCGAGATTGTCAGCCATATTATGAATTTTACAATATTCACCCGTATGATTGTTGCATTAGTTGAAAACTTGCAGTTCATTACTTCATTTGCTGTTGTATTTTGGAAACTACTTTACAATTGCAATTTCAGTTTGACTACTATCTCGATTATTTGATTGCTGTGAATGTCATTTGATTGTTGTGATCTTCGTGCAGACAAAATTTGCTTAAAACTTGGAGGGTTTCTTGGATGAAGTTTAGAGAGGGCAACTTCAACATTGGGAGCTACTCTTACTCAGGCGTGGCAGTTGTGGAGACATAGTATGATGTTACTTTCCCATACAACAAAATAAGGGGGTATACTGGATTACCTAATATTGTTAAGCTTGAAAGTGGACCAGGTAAAGTGCCATCACTTTCATACAATAATATTATCCGTAATTAACTCTGTACAGTTTCCCATACGTACAATGTAGAGAGTATCTATTTTAGTTATGTATGTGTTATGTACTTTTTATTTGTCACCTCCTTCACACTCTGGTGGTGTTTGTCTCGAAAAAATATACTAAATGAAATTAGAATATATATGCTAGTTTGCAGTGCTCATCACAGTAAATTGAAGTTGAGCTGAAGTTTATATTAAAAACAACCAAACCAAGACAGAAGAAAAAGAATTCAGAATGAAAGAATAACTATTGTGTGTTTCAAGACATCCCCTCCCCCCAATAAATAGAAAGAGTATTTAAAATGAAACGTAAACAGTGTTAGAACATGATAATACTAGTAAAATGGTACTGCAACAAACAAAGATGAAAGAAACATAAAAATGAAGACAAGGTATTGAAATGTGGTTGTTTGGTTGTTACTCATCTAAAACAAGGACGGTGATCTAGAAGTTAGAACATACTTACAATACCTATATGAGTACTCTAGGATTAACCTTTTTTACTTGCTATGATTTTACCAATACTCATATAACTTGCTATGATTTTATCAGTTCACTTTTCTGATTTAGAGTTCATGACGATATCAAAGTCTTCACCACATTGTTATTTAGGACTAGATTTTTATTATCATATTTAAATTTCAAAGATAGAATCCATTTAATTTAGTAAAAGCTCTTTAAATGTAATAACCTCCCAATGATTTGGGCACATTTAGGTTGAAAAATTTATTCTTAATACTTTTCTTTAATTTAGAATTAACGTCATATATAGTGCTTACTAACTTAAAGTTACAATAGCCAAACTTCTTAAAGAAAGTTTTTGGTATACTGTTCTTGAAATAATAATATATTACCTCCCTTATAATTCTAAGTCGTAAAATTACACTTCTTCACTTATGACTTTCATTTCAAACTTATATTTTACAAATAATTTTGTTCTTGAAACTATATAATCACTTATACCAAAAGTTAATCTGTCGTTAAAATGTAGTTATATAATGTCACACTTACTTTTTTTAGATTTAGTGTACACATATTTATCAATATTTGTAAACATGGAGTCTAATTTTTTCTGGATCAATAAAATTTGTTTTCAAAAATTCATGAAATTATGGTTTTAATTTTAAAATTTTTTAAAAATTTAAAAAAATTAAAAATAAAAAGGGTGAAATAATTTTTTTTTTTT